CGATTTGCCTCAATCTTTGAGGGAAATTAAAAATGATTTTAAAAAATCATTTCAGAAACATTTAAAGACGTTTCTCCTAAAATAGATTTTATGACGTCAGAGCGCTGTGAGAATGCTGAAATACCATGAACACAAGCGCTATGCAAGTAAGCAGTCACCATCATGATAAATTAAACGACTTCGGACTGAAACTAGAACTTTGGCAAACGAAATTATGTCAAGGATGTTGAGGGATGCAGCATCGAAAAAAACTCAACGGCTATCGGATCGCTAACAAACAAATTATTTACGGATACCCCATTTTTCCTCAAACTAAATTTTTAAAATTTCAATGAACCGTTTCTTCATCCACCACAACACAAAAAAAAATGGGTGAGAGTAAGAGCAGGAGGACATGAGAGTAAGAGCAGTAGGACGTGTTCCAATCCAGCCAGCACAACAAAAAAATGGGTGAGAGTAAGAGCAGTAGGACGTGTTCCAATCTAGCCAACACAACAAATAACGGGTGAGAGTAAGAGCTGTAAGACGTGTTCCAATCCAGCCAGCACAACAAATAATGGGTGAGAGTAAGAGCTGTAGGTCGTGTTCCAATCCAGCCAGCACAACAAATAATGGGTGAGAGTAAGAGCTGTAGATCGTGTTCCAATCCAGCCAGCACAACAAATAATGGGTGAGAGTAAGAGCAGTAGGACGTGTTCCAATCCAGCCAGCACAACAAATAATGGGTGAGAGTAAGAGCAGTAGGACGTGTTCCAATCCAGCCAGTACAACAAATAATGGGTGAGAGTAATAGCTGTAGGACGTGTTCCAATCCAGCTGCAGCACAACAAATAATGGGTGAGAGTAAGAGCTGTAGGCGAACACTATATAGATAAACGGACTGTCGTGACTTACCTTCAATACTTACATTTTGACTCCATTTTTACGCCGAGGGGCAGTTGGAGCAGCCACTACTGCAGGATTGTCCTGTTTTCGTCAGGTCTGAACAGAGAAGGCATGTCTCAAAAGACACCCTTAGATTTGAAAATGTAGGCGATCAGGGTTAGCTGCTTCATAATGACACCAGGAAGTCGTGAATTGATCGTCTTCGACCCAACACAATCAAAGCTCTGGTGTAGTCTGGTTTGATTTCGTTTGCTTTACTTGGAACGTCTTTCATGGAACCGTGTTCGGCCATGGTTTTTTGTTTTGTTTTGTGCAATGAGAATAAAGGTTTAGAATTATTCAACTCGTGCCGTGGGCGTAACTCTAGCTTTAATGCGTGCAGGTAGGAGAATGAGGCAAATTTTTAAAAAGCAAATTTTATGTTTGTTTTGTTGTATAGAAACCGCTTTTATAAATTTAATTAATAATGATTTTTGTTATTATAAGTATAGTATTTATTTATTTTTTTTGCTATTGGTGTTTCAATGGGAGATCATTGCTTAACAACGTTCTAGCTGGCGAACAGCAATGTATGAAGGAGGGAACAAAGCAGAAGGTGCGCGAAACGAAGTTAATGGCAAAAAAAAAAAAGAAAGGAATAATAATAATGATAATAATAATAATAAAAAGAACAATACGGAAGGCAATATCTATTATGGAGTCAAGATTCTCCTGCGAGAAATGCAGCCGAGATGGTCATTCCATGACCGGCCTGTGTGAGCCATTTGTTGAAGCGGGCTTATACATAACCACTCCATCGTCTCGCGAAGACGGAAGGATGCCATATATACATAATATACAGTGGTGTTTAAAGTTTATAACGGAATAAAAGACAGTTTACAAGAGGGGTTAAAATTACAAGAAATTGTGTAAACAAAACAATATATATATTCATAGTTAATTAAATTACAAACATCATCATGAATTAGTTTAATCAGATATTAAATTATTGGAAAACACTTTGAACAATACATTTATAGTCTTTAGCTGTGGAGAGGAGTTCCTCATATCTGCTTGCCCGAGTAGGCCACCTGGATCTTGGTCACGCCTATGCAACATGGGCTCGAAATGTATTTGAATTTGAAAGCAATTTTTTTTAAAAATGAACGCTATTTAATTTTAGAGTTTTTTTTTTAAATATTTCTTAAAAATAATTCAAGAGTAATGTGGCCGAAAAATATCACCGGTGTGTAGAACATGACATTCAAGTGTAACATAAAACCTCTCCAGTCATGATACAAACATGTCTGGCTTACGAGAGCGAGGTGTAACTTGTATGACAGAGCAGTGGCTTATACTTACAGGGGCGCCTCACGCTTGGTCCCAAACAAAGCCTTTAAGAAACCAAGGCGGCGGTTGACGGTAGGGATAATATCGGCACTTGATTAGGTCTAACCCAAGTAGGACGAACCATTTTCGAATCGCCCTAAGAACAAGCGAGATGTCAAGGTGCAAGAGTGAACGCCCGATCAGGGTTAAAGAACCAAGGACCAATGGCCTTTCATGGCGCAGGGATGTTTAATCTGGCAACCAATGATTGCCAGATTGGCTTTTTATACCAAATTTTCAACAAAAAAACTTTTGTTTTCCAGATGTGCTGACGTCATTTTTTACTATTTTATGGCTTTTTAAAAAATAAATAAACATTTGTTTATCAGGGGAAATTACAAATGGGAAATTTTATGTTAGAGATCGGACTAAAACTTTGAATGCTAAACACAATGGGCGCACTCACTATAAATAGGGTCACTCGAACCCAGGGTTTCTTTCAGCTATATCTCCGAGGGGGCAGTGCCCCCCATCCCCCCCCCGGGGGGAAAACCAAGGGCCCCCCGGGGACAAAATATGTCCAAAAAAAAAAACAAAAGGGACAGAGGGCCCCCCCCCCCCCCCCCCCCAGAAAAATCTGAAGTGCCCCCCCCTATGGAAAATTTCTGAAATAAACACTGCTCGAACCTATAAGAGAGTAAATACGTCACACATCCAAAGGGAGGTCTATTACTTGACTTCTGGCAGATTTACTGCGGAAGATTAAAAATCACTAGAGATTTCAATCCGAATAAAAAGTCCTAATCCCGGACCGAACCCGTAAAGACTTATATATGTATGTTCACGTTTAGTCTCAGCCAGTGGCGTGGCTAGGGTTGGTGTCACCCGGTGCCATAAACTCATGGTGTGACACCCCCCCCCCCCCCAATTAATATTCCGACTTCCATGGTGGATTTCTTCTTGTTAAAATGAGCCCACAGTTTACCAATGACAAGAAAAAAAAAACAACTGGAACAAAGTTAAGTTTTTACATTAGCTCGATTAGCTTCATCACGGGACAGGTGAGCCACTCGCCAGACCCTTGCCAGGGGAGGTCGATCCTATGGCACGGGGCAGGTGAGTCCCTCACCAGACCCTTACCAGGGGAGCTCGATCCCGTGGCATGGGGCAGGTGAGTCCCTCGCCAGTATAGTTGAATTCAATGTTTCTATTAGACTTTTTGATCATTGGAAATGAAATTTTTAAGGGTCTGAGGAGGCATTTTGGTGCAAGTGCCATTGATAAACTGAATTCACCCCGGTCGTGGCTTGCCCCGGGGTAATCATTTAAGCGAGAAAGAGTAAGTCATGCTGTGACATTGATTAGCGTCAGGGAATAGGGTGCATAAACTGAGGGTTTGAAGACAGTCGCAAAAATTCAAAATGCAAGGGTGTATCTTTGGTGCATACTTAAATTCGGTGTTTCTTTCAGATACTTCTGATGGGAGATTTCAAACATTCGTGTGTGAAGCGCGCAAATAAGTCATAAAAATGATCAAAGACATCTTTAACGCCGCATCAGGGGGACATGAACTAAATTTATTCCAGATGGTCGCCCTTGAGGCACCCGAATCCATTTTCCCTAGCTTATCCTCGCCTCTTACATTCTTATTATATCATGCTTTTTAGAATAAAATATAATTTTAAAATAGATTGCCCATGTTTGGTACTTTGAAAGAACTGTTTTAAAATTGTAGACATGTACATCGATGTGAAGGGAATTAAATACACTGGTATTAAAAAAAGTTATTAAAAAAATTAAATTGTGAAGTAGCAAAAAAAAAAAAATTAATAAAAAGACCGATATGTGCGAACAACAGGAAGTAAGCTTTCGGTATATAATCTGAAGCGCCTAGTGTGATATTTATAATCGTGCATTGTACGGCTTTACAAGATTAGCCTTAAATATACGGATCATCCAATAAATCGAGCGTTGCGATAGTTCATAGATTCCCCTAACTGTAGTCGATTAAATGCACCAGTTACTATTCTTTTTATAAATGTTTAAAATGACAATTTAGTCGTATCAAAAAAAAAATAATAATATATATATATATATATATATATAATCGTTACATAATTTTAAACATTTTGCTGGGGGGGGGCACTCGACTTTCCCCGTGGGGCAGTGCCTCCCCCCCGTTGATAAGCCTGCAAGAAACCCTGCCTGTAACTTGACCAGAGGCCATTTCTCTGACCTCGCATACCTGTACTGATTCTGTGAGTGATCGTAGTTTAAAAAATAAAATAATTCTAATTGTTGTATACAAGAAAAATGTTGAAAATGTCTGTAATTTAGGGTTTAATTAAGTGCAATTCTTTATTACAATATTCCGCTTTTCATGTGACGTCATATTGCTTAAGCTCCCCCCCCCTCCTCCCCATCGTCAAACATCGTCACAAAAACTGACCCCACCCTCCTTCCCCCCCCCCCCAATTTTTTTAAAGACGTGTTACGTCATTTATGGATGGCTCCCTAATTGGGCTTCTTATAAAGTGCGAAAGGCTACATGTTTGCTTAAAATTTTAGGGGGTTGCTTAATAATTTTAAAAAAAAAATCATTATACAAAATAGATCTAGATATTTTTTTTTTAAAATATGTCAGTCTTGGTAGCATAGTAATTTTATAAAGGTACGCAATACCGCTAAGATCTTTTACATTTTCTTTCTGTTAGTGGTTTCCCCTTATGAGGTGGGATGAAAAAATTCATCAATTTTTTTGTTATTTCCGGCGATGTGTTTACATGTAGTTTAGGTACGAGTGCTGCGTTGGCACAAGGAAATCATAAAATTCATATCATATTGCAAGACTGACAGCCAGTGAAAAAAACATTAAGCTCTTATTAAATTCTTCTGGTAATATAAGGTACAGAATTATTGCATCTTGTCGTCGCTAAGAATTCTGATCACAGCTTGACACTTGTTGTGTATTTGTTGTGATAGATATTGTTAGTTAATTTAATTAATTATTTATTTTCTGTGACTAATTAATTATAATGAGACTAATATTAATGTAACTTTTTCGAACTCCCAACTAGGTCTTCTGGTCTTCTTTAAAAAATTAAGATAATTAGGAAAAAGGTAAAAAATAGGCCTAATCCGGCTTTTGAGCCCTGAAATTAACTAATAAGCCCACCTACCCACTGTTTCACTTTCGTCCATGCCAAGCAAAACTTCTGGAGTTCTAACCCTGAATTATTAAGGGCAAGGGCCAAATTAAGCCGCCTAAGGCTTTAATTTAACTTTACTTTAAGTTTAATACATACTAATAAGAGAATTATAAATAAAATTATAACTAGGCATGGCATAAATATGAATATGATGATGACAACCCCCTTCCCCACCTCCCGGCACTGTGTTACCGAGATAATAATGGAAGGCATATTGTCAATATTGTACTATTTTCTACTTGCTGTTGCGAATTCTCAACATCTATCTAATTTTTACGTATGGAACTAAATCAGGTTTTGATGCATTGTATACCAAAAAGAAAATTACAACTTAACACAACCTTTAACGCCCCTAGCTACAAAAGAAACTTATTTTCTAAAAATTTTAAAACATCCTTCAATTTAAATTAACGGTATGGGTTTTGCCAAGAGTTTTCTCACTCTAGCCCTAAGCACAGTGACGTCACATTGGGGTATCCCAACACTGGACTAAGGCTAAGGGTGAATAGAAATATTCTTTGAAGGACCGGAACGATGTGTGTTATAACATTCCTGTTCTTTATTGAGCATTACTCGCGTCATATACTCGCGTCATAAACAATACGGTTTATATAAAGTATATTGAAACATCGGTGAGAAAAAAAAATAAGCCTGCCAAAATTGCTGTATTTTGATTAGTTGAAATCAAAATACCCATATGTTGAGCCTTGGTTAACAAAATGAAGACTACTGCTTAAATTGCATTTTGCTTAAATTGCATTTGGAATGATCTTCTAGGAGCTGGTGAGGGGAGACCCGTCCCCAAACCCCTCTCCTCGCTTTAAATACCAAAATAAGAAACCTAAAAATTCTCTGGGGCGGGGAGACCCCTCCCCAATTTAACAAAAAATATAAAATAAGAAAACAACAACTTGCATTATGCAAATACAAACATCGAAATCTTTTTAGTATGGCACTGTAGACGGAAATGGATCTGGGGGAACTTCCGTGACCTATATACCATGGAACACATCTTCAGCCTTACCGCTAACTCAAAACCAGCCAAATATACAATCCACTTTTAAGATATTGGTATATTCATTTTAAAAAATGTATCAAACCATTGCGTCAATCCTGAACTATATCATTGGCAATTCATTAAACACAAAATTCTTATATCTAAAATCTTAACCAATTTTCATGTCTGTAACAGTCTTATATTTCTTTTAGAATTGTTATTTAATTTCATACAAATTTTAAAGAAAATCCCAGGCTCTCGTTCATGTCCAGAACTGTATTTTCATTAAATGAAAAGATTAAATTTTCACGTATGTCTGTAAAATGATTGGGTTCTGAGTTTTTCTAGCCAGTATTTACATTGTCCCTCTCTCTCTATCGCACTAGTAATGTATTTTCATAAAATGTTTACTTTACACAACTGGTATTGAAACAAATTGTTATCCTCGTATATATGAGCCCACCTATTTTCCTCACCCCTTAACTGCATCTTTGGAAAAATATCAATGTCCTTAGTTTCAGAAAAAACTTTATCCACTATTTTATGAATGGTTGTGGGTATACATATGTAAATGTACCCACTTTTTGACAAAGGCTGTGAACTATATCATGAGATAGTTGTATAACACATTTTTTTTTTCCATAAAATCTAAAACCTGCTTTCACAATTGTAATATCATCCCCCCCAAATTCTTTTCAGAAGGTTAAAATATTATTTCATTTGTTTTAAAACTATCTATGAAGCAGTGCCAATATCCTGTCCATAACATAAAATTTTGGCTTTGCAATATATCTATACTTATAAAATACACCAACCCATCCTGTGACGTTTCTTGTACTGCCTCGGGGTGAAATCCAAAAATCTTCACTCTTGAAATGTAAAAATAGACATTGGTCTCATATAAAGTTCACAATTTCAGTTTAAATATCCATATACCAGACCTGTTTACTCTTACGATTTTGGCACACAATGTAAGACCTTGAGACGTCTTGTATGATTGTACCCCAAGACCTGTTACAATTAGGATTTTAAGAAACTGGGTTGAATATATATACATTCCGGTAGTTTTTCAGATTAAAAAATAATATTTAAAAAGTAGATTTTGTTTTGTTAGTTTTAACCTGCTTACTACATCCAGCAGTGAAAGGATCAAGAAATATGATTGTTTGGGGACCAAATATTATGTTTGCTCTGAGAGGTGACGGCTGTGATGTTAATAGAAGATATTGTGTACGGTAGGGGTGGGGGGTCTAAATATTTAAGTCTACAAAATTAACACTGCTACATTTTCGTAATGATAGTGGTAATAGTCATATTGTTGTTCTGTATTTTTTCATAATGAACTTGGTAGACACGGCAACAGTAATATTAGTGTAATCGCCTTTGTGACAACTTTATCAATCCTCGCTTTTCTTTTCTTTGGGGCTGCATGACGTAATTTTGTGACATAATTTTTTTCATTGAGCTGAACCGCGGTGAGTACAGAAACAGAACACTAGAGAATGAATTCTGATCTGGTCCATGCAGCAACATTAGATTTTGACTTATTTTATAAGATCTGAGAGGGCTGTTGAAATCTATTTTTAGAATGCACAAAACATCTGTACAATGTTCTAGACTCCCGTTTGGTACCAAAACTCCCTCCTTTCACCCATTTAGGGCTTGTAATAGTTATCCGACTATAATACATTAGCGGTAAATATGCTTAGTGGATACTGATTCTTAGATTTTTTAAATTAGCTTTTCCTAAATTAAAAATCTCCAATTACTTGGTAGGTTTTTTAAATGATGTCATCACTTGTTAATTAATTCTTGTTTCAATAAATTTTATTTTATTCTGATCTGGCTTTGAGTTTACACCACGTTAAATTTCACTTGTAACTTTATTTTAACCAGTGACAAACTTTGATACCCGCTAATGTTATTTGCATGGTCACTCAATATAAATTAATATCTATAGCAATAAGCAAATACTTATCTGTGAAACAAAGTGACTGCAGATTGTATTATAACCGTCAGTCATCTACTTTTAGAAGATCCCTGTTTTGAAGCCAGCTTAACTCGATCCCACTAGACATGGGATGCGAGTAGTTATTGTATATACTGTATGTTTATTTATTTGCTATTAAGATACTGTATTTTGCGATTTGAGATGATATTGTACGATTTTAGGAGTTTGAGGGTAAACAGGTCTGATATACCAATATTCAAGTGTGTAATTTTTTTAGGTTTTGGGATACTGCAATGACAGAAAGGACATCAGCCAAATACATTGAAAACTATTTAACAATACCACTTCCCACTTCACTCACCCTTGAAATGTTAAAACAGAAGATGGTGAAATAAGTACCATAAGATTTTGGTTGTAATAATTAAATTAGCTTTCAAATTAATAATAGTAATACAAGAATGATAGTAAAGTATGGCAAATTTCTTTCAGACAATATCTTAACTCTCACATTCATAGAAAGGCTTAAAATAATTTTTGTAATTATCATATTAAATTTATTGCCAATCCATCATAACAATATTTACATATTGTTACGTACCGTTACATGTTTTGAAATTTTTTTAATGTTCGGATCGTTGGGTGAATAATACTTTTTTAAAAAAAAGGACTGAAAACCAATACACAAAGAAAAACGCAACCAAAGCTGGTGATATGAGCAATGATTTCATTGTATGTTTATTGGGAGTCGCTTAGTCACTTCCTTGTTTGGTCACGTGATGAGAGCAAGCCATCACTAGGCTGCTACACACAACAAAAGATACTTCATCAGTGCTTCCCCAATGTTATGTTGCTTAAAAATTTTACCTTTCGAAATATTCTGGAATACATGCGTTTTTTAAATGAAACACATAAATGTGACAATAAATATACGTCAGTTATGATTAAAGGAAGAAAGTTATTTCAAGAAAAATTTGTGAGCGATATTCGATGGGAACTATCAATACTATCATCGGCAGGCTGTTGTTGAGGTCCGTGCGTGCCCATGACGTCATTTGCGTGTTTATTCAATATTGGTGCGGCGAAGGAATATTTTAATAACCGGTTGGAACAAGATTTCATGTGAATAATTAACGAAGATCCACTTTTTCAAACCATTGTCTTAAAACTTCTTTATCCTTAAGCGGAAACTTATGCAGACTTATACCGGTGTCCTTAACTTGACTGTTTGAACAGCCAAAAGCCGAACATTGCCTAGGCATCTTGAATTTCTAGTTGTAGTGTGTAACGGGCTACTGTTGTCAAGCACTAGTGTGTTGTATACAGCCAACCGGAAGTCTTACTCGTTTTTACTCTCATCACATGACAAATTAATCGACCAAGCGACTCCCATTTGATATGAAAATACAAAGTCAAATAAACAGAAATAAAAACTATATTAACTTACAGCACAGCAAGTGAAAAAGAATTTTACTAGAAGGGTACAAATATTAATCCTTGGACACATTGAAAATCTAGTAGTTCTTGTAGGTCTCCTGTAAGTCTGCCGGTCACAGTCGGTCAGCATATTTTCAGTGAGGAAGTCATAACCCTCCAAAACAGATGGTCTAGAAATTCAATAACCAGAGAGTATTCCTCCCTTCTAGAAACATAAACAAACTTTCCCAATCAAGGTTGGGGGAGGGGGGGGAGGAGTATCAGCTCCTTGTCAATTTAATTGGTGATGTCAGTACCCTGGTAACAAAAACAAAGGGGGTGGTAAGGGTTGTATGTCACAGCTGGAGACCAAGCAGTGTCAACAAAAACTAGGTCAACACACAGGCTATAAGAATATTAAAGATTACATATACTTGCATTAAGACCAGTTTATTTTATCAAATTGTAATTAATTTGAATTTCATGAAAGAAGAACTGAGTAACTATGTTTTTAAGAACCCCATTTAAAAAAGAATCTTAATCTTTTTTGTCTGAAAACAAATAGTTTCATGCAGATATCAGGAATTTTATTTTGTGTGCTGTTGATCTCAGCATTGCATGGGGACATTAGCTAACTCTGGTATACATATGCCATCTAATCATTTGTTATTTGTGTGTGATATTACACTTTACTAATATTCAGATAGTTTTATAATTAGGTAAGGGCTTTATTTCTTTAGCAGGGCTTGTAATATTATTTCTTAAAGTCGAGTGTGGAGTAAAAGACATATTTTAGATACATGTTTGGGAGTTGGGCTTTGGCTTTGTCACGCATGGTGCCAGAATGTCAAACTTCTGCATGAGTTTTTTAAAGTTTTCAAACAGTTTTGACCCAAACAAGCCTGGGAGGCTGAAATATAATGCACCTTTGATCAAATTAAATAGTGAAACAAGAAACCGCACTTACCTCATTGAAAGGTTTATGACTTTAAATTGCTATGTTAAAGTTTATGAAAAGCATTGATGTCTTAAAACTTAAATAGCACAACCTCACATACAAAATCTTAAATAAGCAGGTTAATTTGACTTAATAAATTGCCAAAAGTTTGGGATCTCACCAGCATTATTTTTAGTTGTACACTGTTTCGACACAGCAAGCTGTGCTGCACACATTCTCAAGGCCAGAAACAAAATGCTGTAAATAAATTTTTGACTGTTAAGTTAATTACTTTATGCACTACTTTTGGATTCCCCTTCTGTTTTTAGGTTGTGGTGCTGTATTGAAACCTGATGGACTCAATCAAACGATTTTACAATGGTATATAAATATTCATGTCCTGTTGCTTTTTTAAAATTATTTTTAAACAAATTATTTTCGCTTGGCTTGGTTTTTATTTTTGGTTCCTTGTTTCACACTATCTTGTTTACTGCTAACACTTTAAGCTGCAAGAGTTGTTTTTTCTGGAAATACTAACATTATTTTCTAACTGAAAGTATATCGTGATTTAAACTCATTTCACTACTATCAACCTTGACAGCACCATAATGTATGTAAAATTGAGTAATTAAATTCTTTTTCTTATGAGTTTGAGCTGTCAGTTTTAAACATGTGTTGTTCACAACAACCGCTTTTAATGAAATGAGCGTTGATAGGAAAAGCTTAAATAAGATATTCATGACCTCGATGTAAAGATAAAGTTTACATCGAGGCCGTAGGCATAAGGACAAGAGAGTGAATGAATTTGACTAAGGGATTTAAAATCTTCTAAATGTAATCTATTAAGAAAAATGTCCTTATCTCTGTTGTAAACCATGAGTAAGTTTTCAAATGAATATTTTTTTCAAATTCAGATCATTCCATCCCTTTTATACGTAATGAAAAAAAAAGGATTATTTGCTGATGAAGACTCTTCTGAAATACAACCTTATTGGAAGTTGTTGGTTTTATTTTTATTTCTTTAGAGATCCTTAAGTATCACATTATCAGTCTTTAGGATACATCGTTTTTAAAATGAAACTGAATTTATAAGAAATTTGCTTATTCTTCTCTATACTGCTAAAATATAGTGTACAAGCACACAGCTGCAGTAGTTAGAAATAAATATAGGCAATGATTTGTTCACTTTAACAGACTTTATATTCTGCTTATATACATACATATATATATATATTTGTGTGCTATCTTTCAATACATGCTCATTTTGATCATTGTTTTGTGTGCTTGTTTTTTTTGTTTTGTTTCTTTTCTTTGTTTTTTTGTTGTTTTTTTTTTGTATTGATACTTGTAAAATGATACTGTGACATTATCCCTCACATTCTTTCATATAACATGGCATTAGCACATATTAAAACTTTCCTTATATCCATTTTTTGGCCATCAGTAGAATGCTTTATTTTTTAAAAGGTTGGATTGTACAACCGTGTGTGGGCTCTGAGACAAGGAATCTCACATGCATTTTGTTTTTTATTAGTCTTAGCAACCTAGAGAAATAACATGCAGTTTAGTTTATTAAAACACATTCTTTTTAAAGATTACATCACTTCTTTATTAGATACTTATCAGGTTTTGCGTATCTGATATATTTTACTATGGACTTTGAGAGTAGCTGACATACTTCTCTATGAACTTCAAAATGTAGTCCACTGAAGAAAAAAAAAGGTAAAATATGACAGGTAATAATTACTTGTCATTCAAACAACAAACCAAAATAGACCTGTGAGGACCAAAATAGAACTAAGTTGAACTGTTTCACTGTTCATGTTTATTATTTAATCAATGGAGTTGTAGATCTGAGCTATGAAGTCTAGTTATGACCTAGCTCATGAAAGTGAAGATCGTGTGGTCATGCTGCCTGGTATTGAAGAGGATACTTCACTGGTTGCAAGGGCCACTCAGCGAGGCTATCATGCACTTGGGGTTGGAAGGCCTGAGTATTGTCGCCTCAACTATTCCCTTTGGAAGCTTGTTCCAGTCCCTAATTATCTTTGACAGGAATGGGCAGTTCCTGTACTGTTTCTTGCTATTATGAGCTGGAAGTGCCTGTCATGACCTCATCGCAGTAATCATGCCCTTTTCAACAATTATAACATATATGGTCCCACTACGTGATCCAGGTGTACGATTCATTAAATGGGACAACTTGTTAATGAGCCAGCAGGAAATTTCTGAGAACCAGCACTGGTTGCTGAAACACCACTCCATTACAACACAAATGTTTTCATTAAAGAGAAGCATATTTTCAACTAGTATTTACATTTGAATTGTCACTAAATATTCTCATTAAGTTACTGGAGTTTACTCCATTCCTACATAAGCAGACTTTAAAGGATTCAATGGAACTGGGGTTTATTCCAATCTTACTTAAGTAGACTACAGGATTCAATGCAACTGGAGTTTACTCCAATCCTAAATAAGTAGACTTTACAGGATTCAATGGAACTGGATTTTACTCCATTCCTACATAGGTAGGCTTTACAGGATTCAATGGAACTAGAGGTTTCATTAATCCTCCGTAAGTAAGCCTTACATGATTTATTGGAACTCCTGAAGCTAATAAAAACACTTGACTGGGTGACAGGGGCTTGTTGTAATTCCTAGATAAACAGCACCTTGGTTCTACAAAGTGAAACCACATTACCGGTACAGTAAATAAGAGGTTTGTAAAGGAATTACAAGAATTTCAGGCCTTGTAGTCATTGGCAAAGTTTCAGGTTTTTATCAAATGGTATTTATTGAAGAATAACATTTGGAATGGTTGTTAGCTCAAAGAATGATGTTTCAAAATTCATTGATATGTTATATGTAAGCCTTGAAAAAATAAAATCATTTTCAGATCAATTTAGAAAATAAATTTAAAATGGTTATTAAAATTGTTAACATACCTCAAAAACCATATTTTAAAACCTAGTCTTTAAAAATGAATCAACAAATATTTTCATATGTTTTTGTTTCTTTTTTCATCCTCTCTCCTTACTTGTACTGATGTACAATAGTGTATATTATATATGTCGTTGATTATGTTTTCCCATACTCAAATATTGATTGTCATTTTTTTTCCTTAGCATAAAAGGATTTAATATTAATTTAAAATCAATTATTTATTATAAGATAGGAAATACTACAAGATAAAGCTGTTACCAGCTAAATTATTAATTTTTTTTTTAAGCTTATCTAATGATAGAATTAGGATTGCAATTTATAAGATAAGATGTGTGTTTGTGCATATTTGATTTTACCAATTTCATTGCAGTATGTGATCTCACTATATCCTCTTTCCACATCATTTAGAGAGATATTTTAGAGGTCTTGTGTTTAAATTTTTTTTAAAAAGTAATTTGTTGTCTTGGTTTAAAATATGTACTTATTTATGTGCTGAAAATGAATATGTACAATGTAATAAAAAAACATTTCCATTTATTTGGATCAATAAAGAATCTTAACTTATTATACCCCCAGTATCAAATGTGTGGTGTAAGATATGGGAGATTCAACTACTGAGGGTCTTAGACAGCGCACTAAGCAAATAACCTCTGGAATGGTCCCACGGATTATGACCTACCCAGAAAACGAGGGTCCTCTCCCAGGTACTTCCACAGAGGCAGACACAACTGAGCTTTGTGAATTGACCAATGGTAAAAACAATATTAGAGATGCAGTTTCCGGCCACGCTAGGGCCAATGGAGTGGCAGGGAACATAGCAGAGTCTAGTGTGGACAGGGAACCAGATCACGAAGAAGAATGCAGCGGGGCAGAAGATGATCACCAAAGCCTGTTACCATCCGGATCAGGCAGGGACAATGAGGTGACCATAGTTGATGAGGTAAGGTTATGAATTGAGTTGTTTGGGAATTCCCTTTTTTTTTTTTAAATTTCTGTTGCACAAACCTGCACCTATTGAAAGGCTAAGTCAAAATTGTGGTGAAATGTCAAGCTAGCATTCCATTTTACATCAGCCTGCTGAGTGATATTTTTGTTTCATCTCCAAGATGCTGTCCTTAAAGTAGACTTGAAGAATTTCAAGTAGTGCTTTAGGCAGTGAGGCCACCCAGGCATGCAACTTATCAGCTTTAAACTAATGGCTGTCCTGCCTCACAAACACCACCATATGTTGAACTGAAATTTATCCGCCATGAGTGCATGGGTGATGGCAAAGACCATAAGCCTTACCTGAATACCAATTAAAATGTCTTTATTGCTTAAAAATACATTCTGAAAGCAGGCTGCCATTTGTGTTGACAAACTATGGAAGTTTTGGAGGGACTATTTTGGCTTGGGGTTTATTTTGTCATTTACATGATAGCGGACGAAGAAGGGGGTCTTTTGAGGATTATATAAATTGCTACACCGGTGGCATGGATTGGGTCTTTGGGAAGAGGCTGAAGGCGCTTGTGCTGAGGTCTAGAGCCGTGACAAGGCAGGTCACAGAGAGGCAGGTGTCCCGGTCGCGCTCAAGGATAAGAGCTCAGTCTAGAAGAAGATCTCTTTCCACTGAGCAGAGAAGGAGAGTTGGTACAAGGAGAGAGGAGGTGATGTTGGGTGTATTATATTAAATTATGTTTTACCTGACCTGCCTTTCCTCTGTTGCCTTTAAGTTTTTATTTTACAACAATTTGAGATATCAAAGTAATCGGCAAAGTTTTAATTTTGCATTGGCAAAGTAACGTATATCATTGACAAGTTTAGCATCATTGATACTTGAACAGTCCAAATTAAATAAAAATAGCAATTATTTCAGGGGCTGTTGAAATATCTTTATCTGTCACACTTGATAAATCCTAAGTCTTTAATAATGCAAGGAAGACTGGAAACAATTTTAACAGGCATCCTTCATTTAACATGTACTAAAAGCAGTTTAGTGTATTGCCCAAGCATTTGGCCGACATGAAAAATTACCCAAAAAATGGCAATTTGACCCACAGGACATCAAAACTGACCGTTACAGGACATCAAAATTGACGGTAATGGGATATCAGAATTAATAGTAATTTGGCTGAAAAGACATTAAGTTTATTTTTTTTGTTTAAAGTATTACTTGAAAGTCATTGATAGTTCTTTGGACAAATCTCTAGGTTCACATTGTGGGTTGCAAAAAAAAAAACTACAATGGGATAATCAACTAAAGTCCTCCAATGGAACACATCCAAATATTTGCTAATCCACGTTCCTATTCAGTTATTTGAGGCTTTTTGTTTCAAAGAAGTAACAATAAACTACTTTGATGAAATGATATCTCATTGGTTAGGGCAGAGTGAAGGCAGGGCTTATTAGTTTGTCCTTAGTATGTACCAAAGTGCTTGTGTCCTAACAGAGAGATGGCCTCAACATCAACGCACTCATACAGTCTCTACCAGGCGAGGAGTCTTCCCTCAGTATCATTTCCCAAGTGTCCTTACCCTTCATCATTGCAGGCTATGGAACAGTTGGTGCTGGGATGGTGTTGGACATTGTACAGGTATGCGGCTGAATCTTGTCCCACTGGTGCATTGATTATAGTATAGAGATGGTTTCGGTTGTTGTACAGCTATACTGCTGACTTAGGCAGTTTGGTGGAGGGGGGGGGGTGGCGGTTTCCTAGCCCAAATTAACTTTAACCTGACAGCTGATACCTTGATAACTTAAAAAGCCTAGCAAAATATTGAACAAATCAATATGCCCTATTTTAAAATATTTTTTAGATTGTATTATCCTTGGTCAAAAATAATTTGTTGGGAGGGTTAAATCAGAGATTCCCAAACCTTTAATACATTTTTAGCCCTGAAAATCTTTGGAAATTGGGAGACGTGCTTTTTTTCTGTGCATTATATTTCTCGTTTATTTGTCGTGCTGCTCAGTGATTTTGTTTTTGACTTGTGCCTCCCACAGCACTGGGCGGTGTTCACTCAGGTGAAGGAGATCTTCATTCTTGTGCCAGCTTTGCTGGGCCTCAAAGGGAACCTGGAGATGACCTTGGCATCAAGGCTCTCCACGCAGGCTAATCTAGGTCACATGGATTCTAGGAAGGAACTTTTGAAAATGGTTGGGGGCAATCTGTCATTGATTCAAGTAGGTGTTGTATTCACATTACCAGCAATCTTGTCAACAACAAAATGTCTAACATGCACATAAATCTTGTCGAGCCTTAACCATTGGCCAGTACCTGCTGATCAGGCTCACTCATTACTTCCTTGATTTCACAATGGCTTAAAAAAACTTAATGATATTGTCATTAAGGATTATTTCCTAAATCTATATTATTAAAAGATTTTCATATGTTTTTATTATTTATTTATTTTTTGTATAGCCATGAATGAAATGATTTTGGCTGAAATGCACAGTCAAAGAAGAGACAATGCTACTTGGGTGGTTTAAATAAACAGAAAATTTGGCAGCTGTAGACATAATACTTTGAGTGGCATTGTTTAGCTTCAAAACCTAAATATTTCACTCAGATTAGTTTCAGTTTGTAACAATGTACACTACAATGTAACGAGTTTGCTTAACTTTTTGGAAAAAAAATAATAAAATTAACAACAGCTCTATTTCAATTGAACCCCAAAATTAAGGAAATAATTTATTGAATAGGCAACCCTGGTATATTGGTATACATATAATATATATATATACCAGGGTTGCCTACTAAATGAAAAAAGTATATTTCTCTATAGATGTGTTATCTCTGTCCGTCAGGCACAAGCCATAGTGGTTGGCTTCCTTTCCTCCATTACTGCAATGGTGCTGGGCTGGATCCCAAAGGGGGAGTTCAACATACACCATGGTTTACTACTCTGTGCTTGTAGTGTGTTTACTGCAGCTTTGGCCAGCTTAATCTTGGGTGAGTGGCTACTGGATCATCCAGAGCAGTGCTTTTTTCAAATTGTATATAGTGTGATGTACCAGCAATATTTTATTTACAGTGCATCAGGTGCCAGTTACGGAAAAAAAAATTTTTTTTATAATATTGATCGTTTTCAAAATTTATACAAATAAATTTCGCTGGTGGTCTTCAGAACACCACTTTGAGAAGCTTGGAATCGGGCAGTTGTTCCTGTCTTTTAGTATAATGTTGCCATGTGTCGTTGGTCAAGATTTTTTTCTGTCCAATGACAGAAACAAAATGAAGTATGATGTTTAGCCTTATAGACGTGTTTCCTGTGTCTGCAGAGATCTTGTATATTTCTGAAGTGCTCCGTGTCCGCTCCAGGATATTAAATAACATCACCAACTTATAAAACATATGGTTATGCCCAAGGGGCTCTTCTATAGTATTTATTCTTAAAAGGGCTCCACAAGCAAAATAGGTTGTGAACCACTGCTTTAAAGCAATCAGAACCACATGTTGCTTTTTGGTGATATTATTTAAAATCTTGAAAGCAGACAAGTCCATGTTATTAAAAATTCATTGGCAAAAGTTTTACAAAAACTTAATGACAGGGCAGATAAGGAATAATGTAAAGTTGTTTCAAATGAAATATGTATGTGTGAGATAGGAAAGATGGCTGACATTTTATTGATTGGTATGAGATTGGGAAGATGTTTGACATTTTATTGATCAGTTTTAGTATGAATTATTGATGCAATACCAAAGACTTAAGATATCTATTTAAAGTATATTGTTGGTCAGCATGAACTCCATTGATCATCATTTGATTAATATCTTGATTTCCCTAGTTACATTCAACTCAATGACTCCACTGTTTCAGGTATCATCATTCAACTCAATGACTCCACTGTTTCAGGTGTCATCATTCAACTCAATCATTCCACTGTTTCAGGTGTCATCATTTAACTCAATGACTCCACTGTTTCAGGTGTCATCATTCAACTCAATCATTCCACTGTTTCAGGTGTCATCATTCAACTCAATGACTCCACTGTTTCAGGTGTCATCATTCAACTCAATCATTCCACTGTTTCAGGTGTCATCATTCAACTCAATAACTCCACTGTTTCAGGTGTCATCATTCAACTCAATCATTCCACTGTTTCAGGTGTCATCATTCAACTCAATGGCTCCACTGTTTCAGGTGTCATCATTCAACTCAATCATTCCACTGTTTCAGGTGTCATCATTTAACTCAATCATTCCACTGTTTCAGGTGTCATCATTTAACTCAATCATTCCACTGTTTCAGGTGTCATCATTTAACTCAATCATTCCACTGTTTCAGGTGTCATCATTTAACTCAATCATTCCACTGTTTCAGGTGTCATCATTTAACTCAATCATTCCACTGTTTCAGGTGTCATCATTTAACTCAATCATTCCACTGTTTCAGGTGTCATCATTTAACTCAATCATTCCACTGTTTCAGGTGTCATCATTTAACTCAATCATTCCACTGTTTCAGGTGTCATCATTTAACTCAATCATTCCACTGTTTCAGGTGTCATCATGGTGCTTGTGGTCCTCCTTTCCAGGTATTTTAAAATCAACCCAGACAACGTGGCAACACCTATAGCAGCCAGTCTGGGTGACCTGGTAACATTGTCAATCCTGGCCTGGGTGGGGAATCTCCTCTATGCTGCTATAGGTCAGTATCAGGACACTGAATTTTTTGTAACAGGGGTTTGGCCACCTTCCTCATAATATTGTGCAAAAGTAGGACTTCTCCATTCAGATTAAACCAACAACCTCTAAGTGATTTAAGTTTGCCTTATGAGGCACATTTTGTCATCATTTATTATTATTTGTTAATTTTATTTGTTAAAACCTGTCATGAATATGATGTCATGTCAAGTATGTGATGATATGTATCTGGTGTGATATGGGATGTCAAGTATGTGATGTCATTTATGATGTAGGATGATGGGATGTCAAGTGTAATATGTCATTTATGATGTAGGAAGATTGGATGTCAAGTATATGATGTCATTTATGATGCAGGATGATGGGATGTCAAGTATAAGAGACATGTATGTGCTGTGATCTAGGATGAGTGTGAATACTATAATTTAATATTTATAAGTACACTATCTTCATTTCTCTGATACTTGTTTCTATGCAACTCTCTATCCTACGCTACAACTACTAGGAACATATACAACATAGGCTGGGTCAGAAGAACTTGCTTGAAATGTGTCCTATCAAAACTGCTTAGCTGAGCCATGAAAAATCTCTATGAAAATAACAAAAACTCTAATGAAGACCTTCCTTTTGATATCTCTCACCTCTCGATTTCCCTCTTGTGTTCCCCCCCCCCCTGACCACAGACACATGACCTTGTCTAGCTTTGATGCCCTCTAATGACTATACTTTAATCTCAGTGATTCTGATTCTGACACCTTGACCCCATCCTCACGCAAACAGCTTAATAACAAAAACTCTAATGAAGACCCTCCTTTTGATATCTCTCACCTCTCGATTTCCCTCTTGTGTTCCCCCCCCCCCCTGACCACAGACACATGACCTTGTCTAGCTTTGATGCACTCTAATGACTATACTTTAATCTCAGTGATTCTGATTCTGACACCTTGACCACATCCTCAGGCAAACAGCTGTGGTTGGCACCCACCATCATTGTCTTCTTCCTGGTGTTGCTGCCTCTTTGGGTTGTGATCTGTGTCAAAAACAAATACACCAACGATGTCATACATTCTGGCTGGGTGCCGGTCCTCAGTGCCATGCTCATCTCCAGGTGGGACTCTTTAGTTTTATTTCAAGGCTACGTCTGATCATGCTCAACTCTGAATTTAAAGATTTGACAGAGGCTCTGAAGGGGATGTACAAATTACTGTTTTCGGGTATATACGAAGTTTTACGTACCCCCGCACCCATAGTGCATCTTATGTAAATTATTTTTACACAAATCGTCTAAACCTACATCTTATAAATAGGTGCGTCTTATAATTAGGTATGCTAAGCAAATTGATCTCATTTATATATTCACATAACTTGAGACTATTCCCACATCTATATATGCTAACTGAACACTTTGGCCATTAATTGGTTTATTGGTCTATGTACGGTTCTAATCCTACTTGTTGAAGACTTGGCCTAGCAGATCAATGAAGCCGCCTTTACATCTGGCGTTTATTGTTTCTAAAAGAATCTGGATATCAGATACTCAACCCAGATGGCAGAAATGAATAATAATCGTTGCGGTTCTGCCTCAGACAATTCTTTGATCTACCGTCAAACTAAAAAATGGTAGTGAAGCCTTGTTTACATCCGACGGGTGATGAAACATTGGACAAATTTTTAATTTATGATATAGGAAAGGAAAACACTGGATATAAATTGCTCAGTGCGGCAGATGGCTCGGCCGCGTGCATCTTATGTAAAAATTTTTTGCACAAATCGTCAAAACCTGCATCTTATATACAGGTGCATCTAATAATTATATGCGTCTTATGTGCTGGAAAATATGGTACATTTTTATATTTTTAAGAAATGTTCTACATTAAAAACAAAGTAGAACCGGCCAAGCCTTGACAGATATCTGCTACTTTGGGCAGCCTGTGATAGATGAGGTTTGTTCTTACACCACATGTCTCCTACTAAAGAAGATATACCAAGGCTGTCACAGTGTGAGAGCAGACAATGCAAAGCTCACAGATGGGATCATATTTGATGGGTTGTTTAAGTCAAAGCAATTTCATTAATATATTCGTTATTTTTGTTCTGAACAAAGAACAAAATAAAAATTAGATCTATGTGTGTTAGCTATAGTCAACCAAACAATGATGGCTGCAATGTGTGAACTTCCGGTCTGCCAAATTTACTTGAAAAAAGATTAATTCAAGTAACAAACTTTAAAAGAATCCCAATCAGTGTTAACCTCCCCTCCTCACACACACACACAAAAATACTTTTTTCATTTTCCTCAACTAAATTAATATTCTAATGTCCCACTCACTTTTACACAAGATTTATTACATCCTATTTAAATTGAGACTTTTTTGGTACAAGAAAATTAAATATTACAAACCAAATGCTCTAGCTGCGTTTTTTTAAGAATTTCCTTCAGCACAGTTATTGGGAATTGTAATTTGTGTCTATTGAACTCACCATGACACCATACATACCTAGAGAGTTATGTTGATTCATTGTGATGGTTCTCAGCACCATTTGTTGTGCAACATCCTAACCAGTCCATGGTAATGATAACATTGACATGACAGTGTACTAACTAGTCCATGGTAATTTCAAGTTGGTCTATCAATACCTAGTCATTGGTTTGATGTGTTCATTGTTTTCAGTTTAGGCGGTTTGATACTGGACTACACAGTAGCAAACTATGATGGGATAGCAGTATTTCAACCTGTTATAAATGGTGAGTTCAACATTTTCTTTTATGGAAAATTTAGATTGGTTTCTCTAATGGAAAATTGCACTTTTCCCTTTATGAGGGGTAAAAAAAAATTTTTAATTGTAAAATGTTCTAATTCACCAAAAAATAAAACAATAATTCATTTTTGGGCATTAGGAACTTTTGCTTTACGGAAAGTAACATTTTTTATTTTATTTGCATTGAACAATTTATAAGTATTGATTATTTCATTGTTCAGGTCTTCCCTAAACTTGACCCGTCCTGTGGCCTTGGGCAGTTAAATTTTTCTGACCGCCGTGTAATTTACTTGCTTTTGGTACTGATTTCACTCAAGTCAAACCTTTAAAGCTTGAGCCTTCCAAAGGAAATGACTCTTTGTATTAGTTAGATACATCTAAGTGACCTGTTTGCTACCCTTCTTATTTCCTCAGGTGTTGGTGGCAATCTTGTTGCCGTCCACGCCAGCAGAATAAGCACATCCCTGCACATATCGGGGAGGCCAGGGGACAGGATCAGGGACGGTCGACTTAAAGGGTGCCTTAATATATTCAAAGTATTTTTTGGATCAGGTCAGGAGGCTTGAAATATTTTATTCTAAACTAAAAATTAACAAGGAGAAATAAATGCTCTGGGCATTAAGATTTACATAGCAAGTAATTTTAGCTGTTGAAATTTGGATTTTTATTTATGGATTATACAGAGAAAATGAACTTTTTAAAATATAATTTAATGTAAACCTTCTAAAATTTGTAAGTGATTATACATAGCCATTTGTTTGTATGTTTAGAAGCTCCTGCTAATTAACAATATATTTATTTTAGATGTATTCATTTTTAATTTTAGATGTGTTCATTTGTAATTTATTTGATGTATTCAGTTGTAGTTTTTTTTTTAATGTTTTAATTTGTCATTTTAGATGCATGCATTTGTAATTTTGTATGCATTCATATGTATATATAGAGAGAGAGAGAGAGAATACTTAAACTGGTTCTTAGGTTGTAATATAAAAATTTGAAGTACTTTTAACATCTCATACGTTTGTATCCTTTCCCCCAGGTGTCCACGCTAGGGCGGCAAGGGTACTTACTGTGTTGGTCGTCCCGGGGCACTTACTTTTTAGCTTCACAATCTTTTACCTGAAGGCTGGCCATACGTCCAGTTCCTTTTTGTTTCAGACCTTCTACCTGACAGCCGCCCTGCTGCAGGTTAGTAAGCATGTGTTGACTTCTTTGACAGGTCACCCTAAGACAAGTCACTTTAAGACAGGTCAGAGGGATGTTAACAATGTGTTCTATATTGATTATGGTCAATACCTGATTCAGATGTTTCTGTTGAATCTTGGACATACAGCTAATACTTGAGTATAATATGGGCATTGCAGAGTGTCAACTTAAATTAAGTTGAATAGTTTGTATTGGGGTTTTTATTGTCGTATTACATGTGAATGAAATCAATTTAAAACAAGAGTATCTGAGTTGATTGATTACAACCATCTGTGCATTGTGTGTGGAAGGGGGGGGAGGGGAGTGTTTGGCTTGAATGCACTGGACTGTGTGTGGGCGGGGTAGTTTTAAGCATGGATTTGATTGAGTGCAGTGAGGCCATGTGATCAAATGTAATAGCCTGCATTGTCTGCATTGTCACACCTGCTTTAAAATGGTTTTTAACCGACTTGTTATTGTTGGCCTGTTTTGTCTGATAAGCTAGTGCATATTCACCAGCCTAAGCCTCCCTATTGACATCTTTTCTAGTATATTAAAAATTGCTTTGAAACTATTGCTTCTCCCCCCAGGTGATACTGCTGATTTACATTGCCTCCTGGATGGTTCCGCTAATCTGGGCCAAGGGGGCCGATCCAGACAACGTGGCCATTCCATATCTGACGGCGATCGGTGACCTTCTTGGCACAGCTTTTCTGGCTCTTGCATTCCATTTCATGTACCTGTTGGGTGACAGAGACGCTGATGTGTCTGACTAGCATTTAAATAAGGGGTTTAATTAACTTTTAACAAATTGCCTGTGTGATGTTGTTGTTTGTTCAACTTTAGTGTTGATGCATGGTGACGTTCCTGTAACAAGATATTTTTCAAATGGTGTTTTTGCTGAGTTGCCTACGATTTTATGACTTCTTTGATTTGAATGCCAAGCAGTTCACTCATGGAGTCTGTGTATTATAGCATTACCGATGTTTCCACTGTGATAAATTTTGCATTACGATGGTTGATTTCATGATGAGGGCGGGATTTTTTGGTGAATACATTTTTATCCACTTTAACTCTTACTGAAACATTTAGTTGACAATGTATTAATTATACTCTACAGCGATTTCATATTGTGTTTTAATAATCATGGTCTTTATTTCTATCAATCTACTTACTACACCAATGACATGGATTCAATCACAGGGTTGGTACAATTATCTCATTTTAGACTTAAGAGTTTCTAATTATAGCTCCTGACCCCCATCGCCCTTACCTGTCTAACTTATATTAGGGTTTTTTTGTGCTTACTTTGCTTAACTCCCATTTACTGATGCTTATAAAGTTTAAAAATATAGCTAAACTTAAAGGAAAGTAATTTTTAATTTTTCATAATTGCTCCGGTTCATTAAAGTTGATTTAGTTGATAACTTTGGACAAAGACCCTGATGAATCTTGATATCCAGGAAACCTGTGAAACCAGGTGTCAGCCCTCATCATCCCTGCAATAAAGTTTGACAATGTAGACAGTCATCTGACATTTTTTCAAAGGTTTTAAAACAAAGAAAAGAAAAGCTCATGGTCCTGAACATGTTTTGTTCTGATTTGATAAAACACTCCACTGTTACCACACACATACATACAGTGAATGTCAAACACCCCCCCCCCCTGTGCTGCATCTACCAGTCAATATTAACCACCAACACTGTCTCATAACATGCTCAGTGAATTAGCCTTTCCATCGCAGCATATGTCTCTAACATTTTTTGTTCTGATTTGATAAAACACTCCACTGTTACCACAAACATACATACAGTGAATGTCAAACACCCCCCCCCCCCCTGTGCTGCATCTACCAGTCAATATTAACCACCAACACTGTCTCATAACATGCTCAGTGAATTAGCCTTTCCATCGCAGCATATGTCTCTAATGGTCAGTTAAATATTTCTTGAAAATATAATTCAGAGCTATTCTTACATTTGTATTTAAATGATAAAGAAACTGACCAATGGAAATTGTGAAGTTAACATTTTGGAAGGCTTTAGTTCTTACTGTATACATGAAAGTTTCAGTTCAATTTTACAGATTTCAGCTACTTTAACATCTGCCGTGTACTTTGTGTCAAACTTTATATTTTATCACTCAGCATGATGAAAACAATAAATGGTATGGACTAGCTTTCATGGGAATCGTGTTCATTAATTAACCCTTTCTTTAAATGCCTTTTGTCTTTAATAATCCATTATATTATTGCATTAATTATTTTAACAACTTACATGTATTTTAACCTACATTAAACTTACCAATTTAAAATTGGTCATTTTTTTCTTTCAAATGACCAACATTGGATCATCTATATTTTTCATTGATCATTTGAGATCATTTCTAGTTGTTCAAATGTTTTTCTTGGCATTAATTAATTTTTTAAATTTTGTTCACACACTTCATGTTGTTGTTTTTTTAAATTATCTTTCTTTCTCCACTACACATCCTAGTTGGTGGGAAAACTGACACATTCAAAGCCCTCGAATGTTTTTGTTTTTCTTTACTTCATGAATTTGGGATTGTCATCTACTTAACATATTCATTAGTACTTGCCAAAATTTTTAACATGTACCTAAAATGTTGAAACTTTAGGTCACGACAAGTTTCTCTCATGATTGTGTCCCCCTCATGTTAAGTTTCACTTAAAATTACAGGTACTTCAAACAAATTTACTTACCAGCCAGCCAGTCAGCTAATAAATGAACCAGATTGTCACAGTTGTATTCTGCAGCAGCAACACTGTGGTGTACCAAAGTTTGATTCTAATAAAATGGAAGGGGAAAAAAAACAAAAAACCTTTTCTTATGGTGAATATTATGATTAGTTGTTACAGGATTGACTTGGTCTTAGATGGTTGGTGTGCCTTGAACTTACCGAGGGTTGGAGAGTATTGTAACTTAAAACCTGAATTTGTGCTTCAATCCATTAACTCTTTCGCTGCGGAACGTTCTCAAAAGCATGGACCAATGCGCTCTGTGTTGTTTCAATATCATGTTTGTTTCTTTGCTCATTCTCGGTCAAACTTTTTGTGAGCTATTTTCAAATACGACTTTTCTTTAGAAGAGTGGTACTCCATTGTTTATAAATGAGACCAATGTTTATTTTTTGTCATTTGAAGCATTATTTAAATGATTTTCTTTGCTATTTTTTTCTACTGTTGCTATGGCTACTCTAGGCCCTAGTAGGTGAGTAAGTTTGCTAGACGATTAAAAGCTTCGGAATCGTTTTATAATATTTCTTTTGATAGTGAAGATGATTTATTTTTAAATCCAACGGGTGATACCGATAGTAGTAGTTTTAGAGGATTTGAGTTATAGAAGTGAGGTATGCGTACATCACATTATTTAGGGAAAAAATGGTTTAGCATATAATGATTTCACATTTTATCACTCTTTTTTTGCTCTTCTAAAAAAATGTACATTTTTTCAATAAAAAAACCGAAAGAGTTAAACAGAGGTCATTACTTACAACCAGTCTTAAATCATCGATTCGCAGGTTCTTCTTTCTTCATGCCAGTCGACTGTGTTACATAATCCATTTAAATGGTCTGTGTCACATAATCCATTCAGTGGTCTGTGTCACATAATCCATTCAGTGGGCTGTGTCACATAATCCATTCAGTGGGCTGTGTCACATAATCCATTCCGTGGTCTGTGTTACATAATCCATTCAGTGGTCTGTGTTACATAATCCATTCAGTGGTATGTGTCACATAATCCATTCAGTGGTCTGTGTTACATAATCCATTCAGTGGTCTGTGTCACATAATCCATTCAGTGGGCTGTGTTACATAATCCATTCAGTGGTCTGTGTCACATAATCCATTCAGTGGTCTGTGTTACATAATCCATTCAGTGGCCTGTGTCACATAATCCATTCAGTGTTCTTTATTACATAAAGGGGGATAACGAGTGCAATGTTGTGCATATCTGTGCTCTTCTAATATTTGCTCATGTTTTATTTTAAAAACCAACCACATATTTAATCACTTATTTATATTGGATTGGAATTATTTTCAAGTAAAATTAAACATCACTTACTCCATTAAATTTTTGTCTCATAAAAAGGCCAATTACTTGTGAAGTTAATTATTTTCAATTTATATTTAAATACTCTTAATTATATTTTCAATTTATATTTAAATATACTTTTATAATTCTTAAAATATATATCTTTTTAATAACTTGATATATCATTTATTTTGCAATAACTTACATCATTTGTTTTCATGCTTACAATTAAAATCTGATTATACTATATCCATTACAAGTTAAATCACAGGGGATACAGTTCAGTGAATGTAAAATAAGGAATGTTTATTGGGGAAAGCTTCCTGAGCCTCGATTTGTCAGGAGCTTGATTTGTCAGGAGATTGATTTGTCAGATTGATTTGTCAGGAGATTGATTTGTCAGGAGATTGATTTGTCAGGAGATTGATTTGTCGGGAGCTTGGCCCATTATCAGTAATTAGTCACTAGGTGACAAATTTCATCCACTGGGTTCAGGTGGACCCCAGGGTTCAGGTGGAATGTCAGCTCAAGCCAAAATTAAATCACATTTCTTTTTAAAATGTATTTGCGAAAGTTCATGTTATCGTATTTATCTTTGATGTCATCAGTATTTTTTGTTGGCTTCATTTTTCACTTATGTAATTTGGTTTAATTAAGGTGTTGAAGTATTTGATACAACAGTGACCAGAAATATAGTCATCCTTGATACAACAAGGACCAGAAATTTAGTCATCCTTGATACAACAGTGACCAGAAATATAGTCATCCTTGATACAACAGTGACCAGAAATATAGTCATCCTTGATACAACAGTGACCAGAAATATAGTCATCCTTGATACAACAGTGACCAGAAATATAGTCATCCTTGATACAACAGTGACCAGAAATATAGTCATCCTTGATACAACAGTGACCAGAAATATAGTCATCCTTGATACAACAAGGACCAGAAATATAGTCATCCTTGATATCTATTTTTTTTTTATAACTTGTCATTCACTAATTATTACTTTTAGCTGTGTTGAGTTAGCTTTACTTGTAGTGTCCAACTGGTGATCCATCACATGTTAAATTATGTGAAAAATATTTCAGCATGAATGGCACATGTTTAATTCATTTGATGAAACCCATAATTTCTAAGATGTAGCAAACAATTCAAAATCAAACAGGTTTCTTTCCAGATAGCTTTTTTTTAAAAAAAAGAAACATTAAAATCAAAAGTCGTGTATCAAGTTTGATCAGAATAATTTGTTACTGTGAATTTTGGGAAAATTAATTCTTTCTTAGATTTCGATAAGTCTTCCAGAAGTATAACTACCCCAACAAGAAATACAATACATTATATTAGACGTATTCAGTGATAGTGTATTAATCAACTAGTCCAACAAGAAATACAATACAATATATTAGACGTATTCAGTGATAGTGTATTAATCAACTACTAAAACAAGAAATACAATACATTATTTTAGATGTATTCAGTGAAAGTTTATTAATCAACTAGTCTAACAAGAAATACAATACAGATAGAATTAAGTTATTGCCCCCAGATCTTTTTCAGTATGCATTGTCATGTGTCTGGTTGTAATTGGGAGACTAGAGTATTTAGAACACTTAGTGTCTTTGCTCATCCATGGATAGAAAGCCTGAATCCTTTCAAGATGAGTTCTTACAATTAACAGGAAAATTTATATTTCCCTTAATTATTTATCCCTCTAATTTATCTGCTGAGTTCATTTATACAATATGCAGGGTTCTTATAATTTGTGGGAATCCCAATTGTAGAAAATGGTGTGCTTCGATGGTGAATTGGTGGAGAAAAAGAAAGTCCACACAGAAAGGTCATTGCTGGGTATTTTGTTGATGTCCATCTGCATATTTGTGGCAAATGTATTTCATATCATGCATTCATGGTCCTTGGGACCTGTTTAAAGATCACAACATTGACAAAATATGGATGTAAATAAGGTTTTATTGTTACATTTCTTGACTTCTTTATATTCCTTTGTGGAGTTTGTTTCAGGAAATTCCCACACTTGTATAGCTTCAGAAATGAAATTGACTTATACCATCAATGTCATGGAGATTCCACCTACACTACCATATATAGAGGTTTAGATTTTGTAAATATTTTTTTTAATTGAATTTTTTGTGACCAATTAAATTGTCCAAATGTACATGTAGCCTACTTCATATAATTAAATTATTTATGACAGATTAACATAAATATTACAATGATTATTATATTACTATGTATGGCTACATGTTATTAATGTTATCCTCATGTGTACAATTATTGTTTATTGGAGTTTGATTTTTTTTTTTTTTTTAATATTTACAAACTGCATTGGGTAGTAGATTATACATCAAAATACCATGATCTAAACTAATTTTTAGCCGTGCTGTTTGTGTACTTATTGCTTTGGATTCAGTGTCCTCATGGGATGTTTCTTTTTGGATTGTTCAATTTTTTATGAAAAAACATGTACACATAATTCACATTAATTATTTGAGTTGGTCCTAGTAAAGCTAGGTGTAATACAAGGAATGAGGAATTGTTGAATATTATATTTGTTGTGGGAAAGGTTGCTCTTTTTCTTTATCATTAAAAAAAAAAATATATATATATATACATGTAACTGAAATGAACTCCAAGTAGAGAAGAAATTAAGTTTTACTAAACTAATGGATGACCTATGAACCCCCACAAAATGGATGCATGAATATGCTATTATTAAATCTGTCTATTGTTGATGTTGTCACGGAGAGGAAGGGAGATCAGTATTTTCTCAAACAATGCTGCTGACTCCACATGGGTGTTCTTGTTCATAGAACCAGTGCCTTTAACAAAATGTTTGTGATATCATCCTTTGCCGGTTGGGTTTCTATGCCAACGTTTCTCTCAAACTGTTGCAGGGGAAAAACAGTTATATTTTAGGACACTTCCTTTATCAGTGAATTGGCTGAAAATTCTAGAAGCTTAAAAAATGTTGTTTGTTTTTTAGCATGTTTTATTCTTGAATCCCAAACAAAAAAATTGTCCTGTTGTTGAAAAGTTTGGGAAAAGCTGTTGTACAAAATGGGTTACTGTTAAAAGTTGTATTTCTACAAAAATTTATTCTAACTCTACTACTAACAAATTACTGTGTAATGAATGACTACCCTCTACCCCATTTAACAATTCAAGTCAAATTACAATGGTTGTATGGAGTCTATGCTACGTTTACTTATAAGTGGACAAATTTAG